TTCTGTTTTTGTCAAACAAACTGAGCTCTGATCTTATGGATGAGTCTGGAAGGCTGTGAGTGTCACTGTCTTATTATACAGGGCAGTTTGGTTACTTGCATGGATGAATCAGCAGAATGTGCAGAAGTAGAGAAGTGACACATTTGTGATTTCTGAGGCCTTCTTCCAGCAGAGATTTACAGTAACTGATGATGAGATATATTTTTAACTATCCCTAACATATACAAAAAGCCCAAACTTGAGCTATTACGTGTTCTTTGCATGCATCAGTCTCTGATATGTTTTAGCCATCTTGACAATTCAAGGCTTTGCTGTGCTTAAGAGTTTACAATGTAAAAAAGAATTGCACTTTGGTTTAGTTAAGGTTTCTGGATTAATGTACATGGATGTCTCTGCATGTTGTTGATAAACATCAGAGTGTCTGTTCAATAGCAAGAATAAATATATGCGCATCTCAGAAATGAGGAAGAATGGAGAAATTTCCTTACAATTAAGATTTTAAAATGCTATTCTTCTAGGTCTGTAGGAATAAATTTTCTAAAGTCCCACCACCAGTATGCTTTTTGCTTTTTTATTTTCCATAAAATAAACTAATATAAGTGAGGTACAAAAAACACATTTCTTTGGTATTGTGTCTATTGAAACGAGGCCTTGCTAAGGTAAAATCATGGGGTTTAACAATCTAAGGTTAAGGTCCAGCCTCCTAAACCATTATGTGTGTTTCCTCTGGAGATTGGAAGCCAAGACATCTATCTGTATGATACCTACTAATGAGGTAGACATGTAATTCATTTGATTAACTTAAGGAATGAATCCTATGACAAATCAACTCCTGCCATAAGGTTTGCTTATGTCCCTTCCTCCTGATGTGGGGGAGCTATTAGGAGACATTTGGTGAGGTGAAAACAGAAGTGCCGTGCAAGTGTCTCAGATATGAGGTGGCATCAGATTTGCACATCTGAAGGTACCCACAACGACCAGGAGACTTCTCCTTATTACAGATGTAATGAGTTGTGTAAAGTTTTGGATTTACGCAGGCTAATAGGTGGATTGAATTGGCACAGAATGAGTTAAAAAAGAGCAGGGACATGCATATGATTCAAGAAGCAGTACCAGGAAATATCCCTGGCCAGGATGCCCCAGGAAATCACATTTCTTTTTGCTCCATTAAACGTCTCCTGCCAGCTGCCTGGCTGCTGTGTCAGCTCTTCAAGCCTGCCATGGCGCTGCCTACTGGCAGCTCTTACGACATTGCAAGGAAACCTCTAACAAAACTTGCTGCTTCTGCAGTCACCTCTTCTCCCCCATCACCAGGACATCTTCTGACATGACCTGTGCAGCCAGGACATTGAGGTGCTTGGAGCACAGTGTGCTTCAGACCCAGGGTAGGTACTGCTGTCTATCTGACAGATGTCAGCTCAGGTTTTGGATTTGAGCTGAGACAGCTACTTTGAGCTGGTCTGGTGGACCGGTGTGCTGCTGATCAGGGATCCTTCTGACGTGGAGGAGAGCGTGCAGTGGTGGCTGTTCCCATGCATGACACACAGCGACCCAGGTGGCCCAGAGAGAGAGGCCCCTAGGGCGAGGCCACAGCAGTGTGCTGCAAGTGGGCCAGGCACAGACCCACCTCCAGGGACAGAGATGGGAGCCAGAGGGCTGTCTTGCTCTGCCCATAGAGAACACAGCCAGGTAAGCAAAGCCAGGTCCAAGTATTGCTGCCCAGAGGTGCAAGCTCACCCAGCAGCCCAAGCCCTGCACTGCAGATCGCAGGCCCCTTCTGCTTCACAGCCCTTACACCAAAAACTGGGGTGAGGACTCAAGAAGGGATGTGAAAATGCCAAAAGAGCTGACTGTGAACTTCTGACCAGGACCCAGATTAAACTTTCCTGGCACTTAAGGATGCCCTCCACAGAGCACACGCGGCAGGACCCAGAGTGCCTGTGGTCTCCTCCACGGCCGCGACTTGGGTGGCTCTGGATTCCTCCACACAAGCATCTCCGCCTGGAGCCGCAGCCAGCTGTGCCAGCAGCACGGAGACCAGAGCTGGTTCGATATCTCTGCTAAGTGACTCAGCGCAGGAATCCAACTTCTGGTGCCGTCACAGGGATCCTGCTCTCACTGCAGCCTCCGTCGCCCCGAGCGAGCGAGGAAGGAGCGGGCTCTGGAGCCAAGCCTGCAGCCTCCGCTGTTGCTCTCAGCATGGGCTCGCATTCCTCCAGCACAGCTGCATCACGTCGCACGGGGCTTCGCATTGCTGGAGGACAGTGCCACTGGCAGGCCTGAGCACTCCTATCTGCTTTGTCAGGAAAACAACTGTTAGGGCCAGCTTCGGTCCCGTAGTCGCGATTCCTTCATCCGCACAAGGCTGCATGGGGAAAGTGGGGGTGCATCAGGGCAGGAGCTGACTCCCTGCCACCAGCTCTGCTGCTGAAGTAATGGTGTGAGATACAGCATAGCCTTGTCTGCAGGGGGAGAGCCCTGAACTAGAGTCTGAATTAGCTTTAAGTGGATTAGTTACACCCTATCAAACTCTTGCGTGCATGTTGCTATTCAGAATTACAGTGACCTGATTTCAGCACAACTTAATTCCACTCATAATGTGGTTAACCTAAATCTTAAGATGAATGCTTTATTACAGCTGGTAAATCTGCTTTGCACCTCTGCTTAATTTGGATTAATTTCCCAGGGGGACTACCCGTGCTTGAGCCCTGCTGGTGGCCAATTCGGGTTAAAGCCTCTGCTGCTGCCCCTAGCACTGTCACTGCCAGGAGGTGGAGTGCTCCCTGCCACAGGCTGAAGGAGTGATAGAAGGTCAGTCACTGTGGGCAGCTGCCAAAAGCTAACACTCAAAGCCCTTCTCTCTCTAGCTTTATCACCAGCTGCCTCCTTAGGCAGGTTCCACAGCATCTCAGGGCCAGGACAGTGATGTGGGAGAAGGAGGTGTCCCATGAGATGGGACAACCTGACACTGCTGCTGTTGAGAAACAAGGAGGTTTCCAGCAGAGGAGAGGAAAACTGTCCTGGCAGCACCCCATTTTCTCAGGCAAAGGAGAGAGGTACACCCATGGGTACTCTTTAGCCTTGTCAAGGGAGATGCCTTCAGGGTGCTCCCTACAGTGGAATTCCTCACTCACATGGATGCTTCCATAGACAGCTGCTTCCCATACTCTTGTACAGGCAAGTCAGTATTTCCTAAATATGATGAGTCTGATGGTCAAGTTGACCCAGAAGTGTATCTGGGCATCACCACTAACCAAGGAACAACATTGCAGTCTTTGATTGCAGGTATCTTCTACAACCACAGGGCATTTCTGCCCCTCTGGTGTGTGCACCTGGATGTGTTGCTTACCACTCCAAAATGATCGGCAAGAATCTGGTTCTGCCTGAATCTGAGCATTTTTCACTTTATGAATATTTGTCTAAGATGTCTGATTATTAAGGCCAAATGAAGCCTTCACTTCCTCTATAAATATTTGTGCAATGACCTATAACTACCGGCCAACATGCCTGCCAGCACTCCATTAGATGACATCCCATTTTACAATTAACTATTATCATTTGATAACCTCTTGAGGTTAAGAATACAGATGTAAGATCTCCAAGATTCCTGATGGGAATACTTCATATCAGAAGTATGTTTCCCTTGAGGATGACATCACCACAGGGACACATTTTTCAAATATTTTGGCCATCATATTTTGAAAGCTTCTTTAGAAATACAAAAATTATTTTTGAGCCCTGAAAGAACTTTTCCTTTGGTTTCAAGTAAACATACTACCATTTAACTCTTTTGAAAGCCTTGCAAAATAACAACAAAAAGTGTCATGGGAAACAAAGACAAGAATCATTGTGTAGCCAAAGAAAGAAGTATGTCCAGTATACAGTGTTTATATTACCTGGAAGAAAAAAAAAAAAAAAAAAAGTTTTTTTTGCTGAATGCTAGCCTAGCTTTTTTTGTTTTGTGACGAAATAGTTCAATTGGTGCCTAAGTCACAGTTTCAGATCAGGATCCTGACAGCCTGGGGAGCTGGACTCCAGACTCAAATCTAAGAAACCTCTGTGGACTGTGTAGCATTATCTAACTTAAAGCCCTAAGCCTAAGCCCCTCTAAGCCATCAAACTCTGGTAAAAGTTGGATGCAAACTTAGTCTTGCCCCTAATTATAGACAGGATATTCACCAGTGGCTGGGTACTGAAGATAAATCTGGCAGAACCCAAATCAGTTTTGGTCCTCTTCTGCTGGCTGCTGCAAAGAGCCAACCACATAGGATTTATAAGGCCATCAGCTCTAGGGTCTTCGTTGTAGGGCAGCATTAAATAAATGAACATTAATTACCTCTTTCTTTTTTTTTTTTTTTTTCTTGTAGCTGATGAGCATTTTCTCTGAGAAGTTCTCTTAATTCTATTTATCATGCTAGATTAACTATCAGTAAAATCTCATGAAATATTATGCCGTCATTCAAAAGATAGCTACGATATAATTAGTATTATCTTTATAAAACCTCATTTTTGATTTTTTTTATATATTTTGATAATATAGTATGAAAATTAATCCAAATGAGGTTTTAAATTTATCCTAAAGACAATGTTCAAAGTAAGAATGAGCACTTGAATCCTCATTAAATAAGACTAGTTTGTGTCCAACCCCATTAGTGCTTTTTGAATGCAGCACTCAAGTCGCTTCCATTCTCAAAGACTTCATAGAATTTCTAATAGTTTGATAGACAATCTCTAAAGATGTCTTTAACAGGAATGATGAAAATAGGAAAGCATAATTTAAACAATTAATTAGATTTGAAATCTTAGTGTAGAATTGACATTGTGTGTCTGAGTTTCATAGTTTAAAAACCCTTGGTATATTTTAAAATGTGAGTAGTTTATCTGAGCTTTAAGAAGGAAAACAAAGTCAGTGTTGCTTTCAGAAAGCTGTATTAATACCTATGTGTCTTGAGTGTATTTATATTGTGACATATTAAGTAAAAAAAAAAAAAGAATGTTACCTTAAGGTAAGCTGTTCTTCGCTTCCACCAGTTTAGACAGCCAATAGTTTGGGTGCATTGGTAATACAGGAAACCAATGGCTCCCATTGGCAAGAGCACCCACTCCTCTGTTGCATGTGCTAAGAGACTTTGCACCACTGGAAGGCAGACCCTGAAAAGCAAATTGCGGCATGTCCACATAACAGCAAAATACAGACTGTTTTAAAAAACATCAGTGAAAGAGTGTTAGACTACCGCTGAGAAAGTGGTCCATCCATTTTCCAGCCTATGCAGAAATCTTGTGATAAGCTTCTTCTTAGTCTTTTCAGAATGCATACAAAAATCAGATATGCTATCTGGACTGAAAAACTGAGCGAAAGAAAAATATGTATCTATATACAGACTTTTTTTATGTTTTATATGTCAGTATAAGTATCACTCTGGTTATCTTTCTTATCCTGCACGGAAATTATCTTTTTTTTATAGAAATGACAGCTTGCAAGTCTGCTTTCCGTGACACACCTCCCAAAATCAATTAAGTGTATACAGAGTGGGACAAGTGTGCTTTCTTTTTCTTTCTCTCCTGCTTCACTTTTATTGTGCTTAGGCATTTATAACACACTTACTAATAAATTGATTTTTCCACTACATCATACTGATGTAGAGTGTGAAAAAGGAAAATAGAATATAATCAGATTCTGTTAGGTATTACGGCTCTTGCCTCTACCTTTCTATCATATCAAAAATGGTTAACACTCTTGGGATTACATCAAATCTATTGCTCAGAAAAATACTTTAACTACACATAAACAAACAGTGTAGTTAAAACATAAAGAACATACTTAAAGAGCAAACAATGTGATACAGAAATGTGATGATGCCTTTTTAATATGAACACCAGTCTAAGAATAGAAACAGAAATTCACAGGAATTGTGGTTTAAGTTGATAAACACATGAAAGTACATGAAATATGCATTTGCTGGTCTAACAGTCCATGAGAAATTGTCACTCCAGGAAGAAATATTTGCAAAGCATAGAGAAGTTCATAGAGTAACACCAAATTAAATAGATTTCGTTGTCAGTTTTTGACATTACTAGACAAAAGACTAATTCTAATGTGACCTAAAATTATAGAAACATAAGAGAAGGAATGAAAAAACTTTCAAATTTAGTTTAAAAGTACAGATGTCTTTGTTTTTTCATTGGCAACTTCAACACTATTGCCTTTGGACATTTTATTTTTAAGAAACATCTGTCCAATTTGGATCTGTCATACTGCAACTGTGATTAGTTAGAGATGTTACAGAAAGCAAAATTATTTATGCAAGTAAAGTCTACAGAGATAGTATCTCATGAATACAAAGTAATAAACTTCGTGAGAATGACAATTTGAATTTTTCTATTGTCTTTTACTCATGGAGCCTAAACCACCTGAAAAGCATTATTTAATTGTATATTGCATAACCTAGAGAGATAGACAGGATGCATAACTAAAGCTCTGTAAGACCCCACTGAGATGGAAATTAGCACATATTCAAAAGTAGGAGTGCAATGACACAACTTCAGAGGATGGATGGAAGTCAATGAAAATTCAAGAACACATAAACAGGTAGCCTATAATTATTTACGCTATGGTTGGCTGAGCTATCACCTTTAACATCAAAGCACTTGGGGTCCCCGCTGCATGATGCTCACAACCACAAGTGGACGGTCGTTCTTCCCCTCCAAATATGGCAGTGGTAACTGCTCTGTTTTAAATCGCTTTTGTGAGAACTTTGAGATAAATTTTAGAGCTGGACAAAAAATTTTTAGACAAATAGTTTACTCGCCAAAAAATGCAGGATGACTGAAGCTATTTGGGAGCTTGGATTGAATTCAGCAAATTGTTTCAGCCAAACAATGTGGGGGAGGAAAGTGGAATTCTGAAAATGTGAAACATTTTGTTCTGACATTATCAAAATTACAAAATTCTTCCTTTATTTTCTTCTTTTTAGTTCAAGCATTAGAAAAAGTGGGCAGTGTAATCAAAAGAGAAGAAAAGAGGAGAATGACACACCACAAGAAAAACCTGGAGTGTGTCACACTTGGAAGCTTTTCAGTCTGACCATTTCCAGTTTGTGCAAGAAAGTCTCCAAATGAGAATGAGCTGTACCACAGAGAATAAGGATACGTGCACATTCCAGCTGAGAACATATTTCTCCTGTGAGTTAGAGCAAAGATGCACCAGTTGAAAGCTGGAAAATGCCGTTACTGAAGTCTACCAGTTTGATCTATTTGCTTGTCTTACATAACATGTTTGATGAGAAGTGATTTAGATGGCTTCTCATCTGCCTTGACTGAACTATTTTTGCACGGGTCATCCTCTGCCTTTTAGTGGTTACAAATGTCAAGTAGACACAACTATCAGTACTCTGGAATTGACCACACTTCTTAGTCAAATGCTTCTCTTAGCAGACTACAGTTGCCTAGAGCTGACAAGTGTAGAGCAGAGATAAAGCTCTCTTACCTGCTCACCGGAGGACTGCCTCGTGGCTGAGGAGACATCACCTGGTGACCGAGGAACCAGCTAGAAGCAATTAATTTCCCACTCACCAACAGAGCAGCATGCAACTTTTCTTGAACTCTGGAAAACCCATTGGATATAATCCACATGACTTAAAATGATTGTCCTATGGCACACATTGGGCTAGTGCAGTTATACAAAGGGTCACAGCCAACTAGCTCAAGATCAAGGAATCCAAGGAAAAATAAATCAACCTTTGCACATTCTCTTGTCCCAAGCTCCCCTGCAAGATCTTCAGCTGCAGCTGAAGGGCAAGACCAGTGACTGCATTAGTTTCTGAGCCCTAAAATACTGTCTTAAAGAAAAAATAAATGTATCTAAGGCTTTGTGCTAGAAACCAATTCTAACCATAACCATCTCAGCAGAGAAGAGCAGCTCTCGTGGCACTGCTGTATACATTCAGAGCATGTCTGGCAGGCATGGCACTCTGATAGGACCAAACAGTTGTTCTAGCAGACTGAGCTGCTCAGGCTGCAGATTTGGAACTGACTATTTAAAGCGTTTGGGAGACCCTATGACTCAAGCCCTAGCATTGAACTCCTGCTTGATAACAGACAGAGGGAGAGTGCTTACTCATAAACATGAGTGATGTTCAAATGTCTGAAATATCATTCCTTCCACTGTAGGAAACTGGCAGGGAAGCAAAAGATTAGAGGACCTACAAAGATGCATAGCTCAGGGACGTGTGGGAGGCTCTGACCCATTTCTGGCTGGATGTGTGAGCCTGCTCTCAGGGGCATGTTGACCAATCATCCACAGTACAAACCTTCATGCCCTGGCAATTCACCTTGAACCTCAGAGACTCTGGAGTCTGACCCCAATCTGTTGTTGCTCATGCAGTCTGGATGGATTGGGCAGCCCTCAACTAACTACAGCTTCCACTGCTGGCAGAAATCCCAAGCTCAGCTGTACTGAGGCTCTATGGCTTCTCTTGCCCTTTGATAGCTCATATGAGCTCCCTTGCAAGGCAAGAATCTGGTATCCAGAGCTGCAGCTACTAAACTCCATTTACAGTCATCTGCATATGATTTGCCATATGGAGCTGAGGCACCACATTGTTGTGAAGGGAGAAGAGTGATGTGGAGGAGTGAAAAACACTCCTATAGGATCCAAATCTTGTTTCAATATTTTCATAGGTTTATTCACTTTTGCGGTGCACAAGGAATGGGAACAGAGGAACTTTTGAGTATGTGTATGGCAGACTCACACACGATGCACTGGGCTGTTGATGTGAATTTGGCTGAGCTTTACAATGGCCATATATTGACTCATGTTAGGAAGCAGCTCATCCCAGCTGTGTTTTTTCTGATGCTGATTTCTGGTTAGGGGTCTTCTCAGGGCCCAGAAGTTGTTATCCACAATAGCGTGTGGGAAAATGCAGTTCACTTCCACAGGGAAAACCTTCTGCTACCAAGATAACAGAGAACAGGTGTTGAAATCACCAAAAAGAGTGCTATGCTGCTAGTTGACTAGAGCCACAACAGGGTATGAAACAGAAACTTGTTCTGGACTTGAGTTTGACTGATTTTGGTGTGAATGACCTCTATCCTATTGACCACAGTGGTCCATTTTCCTGTTTGCTTCTTCAGAAGCTACCTGACTACCATTTATTTCAGCATACTTTTCTCTCCCCAGCTCACATTTGTGAAATATATATATATATATATATTCACAGGCTCCAAGCCTGTTGGATTTCAATTCTGCTGGCTGAGCTGCTCTTGAGAGCACCACCTCATCTGATTCGTCATGGTTAGCAAACACTAAGGTATTTTACATAGCCTTTCTATTTGAACAGGTTCAAAAGCACACCAGAACAGCCCCACCAGCAAACACAATGGTCAGTAATATCTGCAGGAAGGGAGTGATGAGAAGGCAGAACTGGGAAGGGTTGGATACTCTCCACAGCAAGTTGAAATGACTTGTCACACACTGCAGTGCGGAACAGAACACATACCTGATTTCCATGTTAGACTAAACTTCAAATTGATCTTTATTCTGACATCTAAAAGCAACAGAAAAGGGTAAGCCTGTTGGTCTTGTTTGTTTTCAGAGTAGTAAGTTCTATCATATATAATTAAAAGAGAGAACATGCGAAGGAATAATTATTTATGAACTTTACCATTTTTTACTGAAAATGAAAAAAGCAGACCTGATGGTTACCAAGGAAAAGAATATTTTCCCCTGAACTTTGGTAGATATAATCATTATAGAAAAAAAAAAAAAGTAATAGAGAACTTGTTGTGTTTGCTATTTGCAAAGCATTGTTCAGACTCAATCATTAAGTCACAGCAGTTGCGTAATCGCACCTAAACATGATCAGGTTATCTTCCCTCTTTCTCTCCTCACGTACATTCAATTTTATAAAGTGCTGAGGAAAAGGAAATTGAGATTACACTACTTACAGATGTCCTGAGAATGCTGGAAATTGTTGATGGAATAAACTACCCTGAGAGATCACCTTTCCTTCATTTCAAAGCCCGCATTCCCTAATTTGGCTGATGCTGAGAGATGTTTTCTTCATGGGGCCTTCTGTCTCTTCCACTTTGGCAAGCAATGGGAGAGGATGATATAAGAAAAACTGGTCCAAGTTCAAGAACATACAACCTTGACTTTAATTCATGTTTTGAGGGGAAAGTTCTTTCTGCTACATAAATAAATCACACCCTTTACAAAAACCTTTATATGACTGTCTGACAGTAATATTCAATGTAAAGTGATATTTTTATCACGTACAACCTGTGAAAACTGTCCCTTTGTCATGAGAAAGGATTAAGGCTGTGCTATTTTCATTCTTGGCACATTTCCTTAACTAAATTGTAATGGCTTCATTTCCTTTTCTTTTCAGTGTGAATTTAGTGCTGATGAAAGGTACCAGCTTAGCAGCTCAGGAAGCTGAAGCATGTTATTCATCCAGAGAGTGAGAACAACACAGGTAATCATAATGTAGAGCACCACCAAAGCCAATCATATTTGATGTGGATGGGAAAATAATTTCAGTCAGACAGTATGTCCCCCTCTTCCCAAGGTATGTACAATTCCTACGCTCTCCAGGGACTTGGCCAACACTGAGCCCAGTAGTGTTCCTGAAGAATGGTTGCCTAAAAAATTTAAGAACTTTTATATCAGAACTGTTAAGTCAAAATGTGAACAAAGCAAATGTGACTACAGCTATTTCACTGACAAATCGGTTGGTGAAGCTTTCCAAGTAGCTTTTTTTTTTAATGTCAAATATCCCCCAAAGAAGTTATTCTTAAGATGATGTCCAGATTTCATTTTCAGACAGTAATATCATGCATCCGCAGTCATGCTCCACAAAATGGCCATTCAAATCTGGCTCAGGTGCAGCATGCAAGCATCTAGTATGCTTCACATGCCTGATTTCCATCTAAATGTGCCTCCATGCTTGATAGTCAAACACCAAAATCACCTTTTTAGTGGCTTTGTATTCAGGCTCAAATTCACTTCTGAATGGGAAAAAATAGTAAAAATAATGTGCTCTGGTGTTGAACTTATTTGTGGGTTTGGGTGCCCCTTAAAATCCAAACAATTCAGAAGATGCACTACTTCACAATGTGCTGACCCACATATTTGGTAAGTCAGTGGGACACATCCTATGGAGATATTACGTACTGCAGAAGACTAACCGTGGTACATGCTGCATGCAATGCACAGTGTTTGAAACTAGATATGTCATACATCAAGTAAAGGACAACTGCAGTCTGTGCAGGATGTTTCCAAATCCCCTTCAAACGCTACCATCAACAAACAGCTCAAGCATTTGCAATGAATCCTCTACCTGCTAAACAATACGTAGACTGAAACGCTTCTCTCTACTTATAACAATGTTGTTGCACAGATGTGAAGACAAAGCAAATATGACTCAGAATATATGATAATGGTCATTAGGTTATTTAAGTCTAAACATCCAAGGTGCCTTAAAGTTTATTCTCACTTGTATTCTTGATTACATATCACAGAATCACAGAATCACAGAATCTCTAGGTTGGAAGAGACCTCAAGATCATCGAGTCCAACCTCTAACCTAACACTAACAGTACCCACTAAACCATATCCCTAAGCTCTACATCTAAACGTCTTTTAAAGACTTCCAGGGATGGTGACTCCACCACCTCCCTGGGCAGCCCGTTCCAGTGCCTAACAACCCTTTCAGTAAAGAAATTCTTCCTAACATCTAACCTAAAACTCCCCTGGCGTAACTTTAGCCCATTCCCCCTCGTCCTGTCACCAGGCACATGGGAGAACAGGCCAACCCCCACCTCGCTGCAGCCTCCTTTAATGTACTTATACAGAGCAATAAGGTCACCCCTGAGCCTCCTCTTCTCTAGGCTGAACAGGCCCAGCTCCTTCAGCCGCTCCTCGTAGGACTTGCTCTCCAGACCCCTCACCAGCTTTGTCGCCCTTCTTTGGACCCGCTCAAGCACCTCGATGTCCTTCTTGTAGCGAGGGGCCCAAAACTGAACACAGTACTCGAGGTGCGGCCTCACCAGAGCCGAGTACAGAGGGACGATCACCTCCCTAGCCCTGCTGGTCACACTGTTTCTGATACAAGCCAGGATGCCGTTGGCCTTCTTGGCCACCTGAGCACACTGCTGGCTCATATTCAGCCGACTGTCCACCATCACTCCCAGGTCCTTCTCTGCCTGGCAGCTTCTCCAACCATTCCTCTCCCAGCCTGTAGCTCTGCTTGGTGTTATTGCGCCCCAGGTGCAGGACCCGGCACTTGGCCTTGTTGAACTTCATACAGTTGACCTCAGCCCATCAGTGCAGCCTATCCAGATCCTCCTGCAGAGCCTTCCTACCCTCGAGCAGATCGACACACGCACCTAGCTTGGTGTCATCTGCAAACTTACTGAGGGTGCACTCAATGCCGTCATCCAGATCATTGATGAAGATGTTAAAGAGGACCGGCCCCAGCACCGAGCCCTGGGGAACGCCACTAGTGACTGGCCTCCAACTGGACTTGGCTCCATTTACCACAACTCTTTGGGCCCGGCTATCCAGCCAGTTTCTAACCCAACGAAGCGTGCGCCAGTCCAAGCCAAGAGCAGCCAGTTTCTTGAGGAGAATGCTGTGGGAGACGGTGTCAAAAGCCTTGCTGAAGTCAAGGTAGACCACATCCACAGCCTTTCCCTCATCCACCCAGCGCGTCACTTTGTCGTAGAAGGAGATCAGGTTCGTCAAGCAGGACCTGCCTTCCATAAACCCATGCTGACTGGGCCTGATCGCCTGCTTGCCCTTCAAGTGCCGCATGATGACTCCCAAGAGGATCTGCTCCATGAGCTTCCCTGGTACTGAGGTCAAACTGACCGGCCTGTAGTTCCCCGGGTCTGCCCTCCGGCCCTTCTTGTAGATGGGCGTCATGTTTGCTAGCCGCCAGTCAGCTGGGACCTCCCCTGATAGCCAGGACTGCTGATAAATG